GCAGTGCTTATAAGGCTGAGTTTCACCTGAAACTCATCAGACTGAAGAAGTCTCTTGGAGGAGAGATAAAACGTTTCACTAAAGAAGAACCCATCCAGAGGACCTACTTTTTTTCTATTTGATTTTTTCTGGATTACTGAGATGCATCAGGACATTGTCCCGTTAGTTGTTCTGTGTTGAGTTTTGTTAGAATATGCCTCCTTTAATGTTTTTATGTTGTGTACTTGATTCTTGCTCTGTTTTGCTCATCTGTTTGTAAAAAGGCCCAGGGTATCTAGTTCAGCAGTTCCCAAACTTTTTAGACATGTTTACCCCCTGAGCCATTTTGTCGTACCATGTACCCCCTCTGTTAAACGTAAAGATGAATCTCCAAAGCTATAATGTACAACAGCTGATTATAAAATTTAAATTATTTATTTAATCCCCTAGAACATTTCATTCTCATGCATTTTATTCTTTTCAACTCAAATTAAACCTAAAGATAAATGTGTTGCCTCGAAAGTGAATAAGTAATTAATTAAATAAACCAGGTAATGGCAGGTGCAGGAAGCAGAAGTGTCTAAAGTACATCAAATACCCCAAATGAACAAATTTTGTGATATTTTGCATTTTAAACTGGATTATTTTTTGTGTCAATATTGTGATTCCGTCTGCGTTTCCTGCATTGCGGAAATCATAGGGCCATACAAATCTTAGTCCTCTTTTTATTTTTTTTTTACACACCTGGGAAATTTTTCCACATACCCCCTGTACTACGCTTGCGTACCCCTGGTTGGGAATCACCGATCTAGTTGATCAAACCTTGACAGTTGAGATTGAGCTCAGCAGTATCAAATCAGCCCAGCTAACATTAAGTATGTGTGCACTCGTAAAACAAGTCAGGCTGGAAGAGGACCATGACCAGTCATAGTATYCCCTTATAAAGCTTGGCTAAAACATATTTAGCAAAATTGGTAAATATGTCTGATTAAACCTCTATCACTGCCTTATCATTAAAGCATGCAGCTCATTTTACAACAAATTCCAGTTTCCTTATTGCCATGCTTTGCCTTGTGTTTCTCATTTACTGTTACAGAAAATATATTCCCAGGTTTTTAAGTAGCGGGGATTTCTGTCTTATCTTTAGTCTTGGCCAGGTTCTGTATCAGTTTTTCCTAGTTTTGTTTATCTGCAAATAAGAATCTCCAACCTTTTTTTTAGGATCAGAAAACATTAACTTCAATGCCTGGCTGCCTTCTGATAATAAACTTACATTTGAGTCCTTATCCACATCACAAAGATTTGCCACATTACCTAACTGCGTTCCAGCTTTACAGCTTTTCATCAGATTTATCTTTCTGATTTCTGTTCAACCTTATTTTTCTACTGGATTTGTTGTTTATTAAATCTCATGTCGATTCTAAAGTATAGAGTTTTTTGTTTCAGGGAAGGAAGATAACTTGATCGGTTTCCTTTATTTGGACGAAATATAGTTCTGTGAATCAGATCTACTTTTTTCCCTCTCAGTCTGTGTTTTAGCGTTAATTAGTTGAACATATGCCATGACATTTCCATGACACATGGTTGTAACATTCAAGTAGCTGTGCCAAGCCGACAGATGGTGAATTTTTATTTGTCATTCTTAAGTGACAGATACACATGACGCAGGTTAACTTCAAACACTCCTTTACCACTTAAGGTGCTCTGATTTCCTTGCCTATAAAAACATTTTTAATGTTTAAATTATAATTTTAACTTACTTTTACCACACATGCCAAGGTCTTTGCAGGGAGGACTTAAATCAAAAGAAAGTGTTAAATTTTGTAGAAGCAGAGTTTCTGTATTTTAACTTAAACAGATGGATGTAATGAACTGACGTTTGTGACATTGTGTCTATGCTGTTGATTTTTGTGGAAAAAAACTGCGGTGGTTTTCTCTGAAAGGGCAATCAAGTTTTATTAGTTAAATATAATCCTGACTTAATTTTACAGCACAGTTTATAAAGTGATGGACAATTATGATTCAAAAATACCAATTTAAATGGATTCAAACACAACAAATCAATATACAGGTGCTGGTCATAAAATTAGAATATCATGAAAAAGTAGATTTATTTCAGTAATTCCATTTAAAAAGTGAAACTTGTATATTATATTCATA